GCCTCCCAGGCTTGAGTGATTCTCCTGCCTCAGCCTCCTGAGTAGCTGGGATTACAGGTGTCTGCCACCATGCTTGGCTAATTTTTATATCTTTAGTAGAGACGGGGTTTCACCATGTTGGCCAGGCTGGTCTTGAACTCCTGACCTCAGGTGATCTGCCTGCCTCAGCTTTCCAAACTGCTGGTATTTCAGGCATGAGCCACCACACCTGGCTGAGGCAGGGGTTCCAGCTGGGCCACGTGAACCACTGGAAATATTCAGGAATGTCTGTAGCTATCCTGAGTTGCCACAATAGGGATAGGTCGGGGCAGGGGTGCTACTGGCATCTGGCAGGCAGAGACCAGGGATGCCGTTCAACACTGTACCACCCCCAGGACAGCCCCGGCTGTGAACAACGATCCGACTCCAAATGTCATTAGTGCTGCCTGGCCAGGCGTGGTGGCTCACACCTGCAATCCCAGTACTCTGGGAGGCCGAGGTGGGCGGATCACCTGAGGTTGGGAGTTTGAGACCAGCCCAGGAAACAAGGCAAAACCCTGTCTCTACAAAATATAAGTTAGTTGGGCATGGTGATAGTCCCAGCACTTTGGGAGGTCGGGGCAGGAGGATTACTTGAGCCCAGGAGTTTGAGACCAGCCTGAGCAACGTGGTGAGACCCTACGTCTACAAAAAAACAAAAACAAAAACAAAAATTTTGCCAGGCACGATAGCCAGCTCCTGTAGTCCCAGCTACTTGGGAGGCTGAGGTGGGAGGATCACCTGAGTCCGAGGAGGTTGAGGCTGCAGTCAGCGTGATTGGACCAATGCACTCTAGCCCGGGTGACAGCGTGAGACCCTGGCCCAAAACAAAACCAAAGCAAAAAAAACCCCATTTTGTATCTTTGCAAGTTTGTCTCGGGGCCAGCCACCTCTGCGGACCAAACTTGTCCCCCCAGAAGAGAATGATCTAGTCAAATGCCAACAGTACTGCGGTGGAAAAACCCTGGCATAAAATAATCTGGTGGATTTTTATTTTTTAACTAGCTAATTAATTAATTAATTAATTAATTTTTTTTTTTTTAAGACAGGGTTTCACCATGTTGGCCAGGCTGGTCTTGAACTCCTGACCTCAGGTGATCCGCCCACCTCGGCCTCCTAAAGTGCTGAGATTAAAGGCGTGAGCTACCACGCTCGGCCTAATTAATTTTTTTTGAGATAGAGTTTCGCTCTTGTTGGCCAGGCTGGTATGCAATGGCATGATCTTGGCTTACTGCAGCCTCTGTCTCCTGGGTTCAAGCGATTCTCCTGCCTCAGCCTCCCAAGCAGTTGGGATTACAGGCACGCACCACCATGCCTGGCTAATTTTGTGTGTATTTTTAGTAAAGGCAGGGTTTCACCATATTTGCCAGGTTGGTTTTGAACTCCCAACCTCAGATGATCCACCCACCTCAGCCTCCCACAGTGCTGGAATTACAGGCATGAGCCACGATACCCAGCCAGCAGGGTTTACACTCCAGAGAGGAGCTCTCTTTGGCAGGTGATCGCCTTGGCCATTAGACAGGTGTGTCCAGGTATGTGTGTGCGTGGCCTACCTTGAAGGTGTACTTGGCGCTGTACCCTGACCTCCGGATGCGCACGGTCTCCAGCATGCCTGTGTAGCGCAGCTGCTGCAGGACCAGCTCGTCATCAAAGCACAGCTCTTTCTGAAACAGGAATGCGAGAGATCAGGTAGGTGCCCTGGGCCTGACAGGATGCCCAGGCCTGGGAACTGAGAGATAAGGGCAGATTCCCACGCGACCCCTGCCCCTTGGGATCCTGAACACAGATGGGGTCAGGGGGCACACGTGGGTGCTGGCTAACCGACCTGGGAATGTCCTACGGCACAGCAGTCAGGAGCCCCTGGACAAGGCGTCCTTCCTTGTTCCAGATACTCTTTCTGGAATGACGCCAAGATGGGAGGATCACTTGAGGCCAGGAGTTCGAGACCAGCCTGGGCAACAGAGTGAGACTGCATTTCTAGCCATTTAAATTTATTAAAGAAAAAAAAAAAAAACGAAGCCGGGCGTGGTGGCGCATGCCTGTAGTCCCAGGTACTCAGGAGTCTGAGGTAGGAGAATTGCTTGAACCCAGGAGGCAGAGGTTGTGATGAGCCAAGATCAAGCCATTGCACTCCAGCCTGGGCAACAAGAGCGAAACTCCGTAACAAAAAAAAGAAAAAGAAAAAGAACCCAAATGCAAATGTGTTTTGGGCTTGTTCTCTGTGCCAGGCACCAGGGTAAGTGCTGGGGATTTGGTGGAGAGGAGAGCTTGGGCTGGGGCAGAAGCCACACACACGTGATGGGGTGGACAAAACCCAGCATCCCACGGGAGTGTCCCAGGAGAGGGGAGATGCTACGCTGAGGCCTGAGGAGGGAACAGGCGGGAGCAGCTGGGTGGAGGCCCAGAGGAGGAGGAAGCCAAGGGGTTGATGGGGATACAGGGAGATGCTTCCTGCCAGAGGAGAGAAGAGGCTGGAAATTCGGCTGCCGCAGTGAGCTTTAAGCCAGGAGCTGAGGGGTCTGGACTTCACCCTGGTGGGCAGTGAGGGGTAAGGCATGGTGTCGTCATAGACAAACGGTGCTGGGCGAGGTGGCTCACACCTGTAATCCCAGCACTTTGGGAAGCTGAGGTGGGTGGATCACTTGAGGTCAGGAGTTCAAGACCAGCCTGGCCAACATGGTGAAACCCCGTGTCTACTAAAAACACAAAGATTAGCTGGGCGTGGTGGGCACCTGTAATCCCAGCTACTTGGGAGGCTGAGGCGGGAGCATGGCTTGAGCCTGGGAGATCAAGGCTGCAGTGAGCTGAAATCACAACACTGAACTCCAGCCTGGGTGACAAACAGAGACTCTGTCTCAAAAAAAAAAGACGAATGGGAGAGAATGGGGAGGGTGGTGATGGCTGGGGTGGATGTGGCGGCCAGGGATGCTGGCTGACAGCCTCCAGTGCACAGAACGGCCGTCCTCATAGAGAAGAATCCACTGGCACAGTCCGGGACCGAAGGTGCACGGTGAGGCGTCTCCCTGGGTATAGCTGGCGGGAGGTTCCTGCCTGGCTGTGTGCTCACATTGGTCTGGGAGCCCACATCCCTGCTGAGTCCCTGGCAAAGTCCCTAAGCTGTCCTTCCGGGGACAGAGTGGACCTCTGAGGTAAAAGCAGCCCGGGGCCAGTGCTGAGCCTGGGCTGGGGCCCCCACTGGTGCTCCCACCGGAGCTCTGAGCGTCTCTCTAGAAACTAACAATGTGAGCAGTGGGCTGTGTGTGCCTCTGAGACTCAGCTGCTGTGTAACCTCAGCCCGTGCCTTCCAGAACACTCCCTGCAGCGGCTACTCTTTGGGATGTATCTGAAGAGCACCCCCAACCTGTAGCTCCCTGGTCAAACCTTCTCTGGGCCCCTCCGTGTTCCAGATGACGTCCCTGCTCTTTTTTTTTTTTTTGAGATGGAGTCTCGCTCTGTGGCCCAGGCTGGAGTGCGGTGGCACGATCTCGGCTCATTGCAACTTCCGCCTCCTGGGTTCAAGCAATTCTCCTGCCTCAGCCTCCGGAGTAGCTGGGACTACAGGCGGGTGCCACCATGCCCAGCTAATTTTTATATTTTTAGTAGAGATGGGGTTTCGCCATGTTGGCCAGGATGGTCTAGATGTCTTGACCTCATTATCCGCCTGCCTTGGCCTCCCAAAGTGCTGGGATTACAGGTGTGAGCAGTTGTGCCCAGCCGATGTCCCTGTTCTTGAATGGCTACCTGGGCCACCCTCACTGCCTCCCAATAACCCCTCATCCCTGGCTGCCTCTGGATGGACCACGGCACCGTCCCCCATCCTGCGTGGAGGCTGGGGCTGGATGCAGGGACACCGACACCCCTAAGGGTCCAGCATGGGCTTTCTCCTCCGGAACACTGGAGAGCCACTCACCTTTTCAGCATTGGAACGGATGCAGCGGATGAAGAAGGGCTCTGCCTTCCCTAGCGCCTCCAGGAGCTTGTTAAGGGATGTCTGTTGAGGAAAACAGAGAGCATTTGGGTTGAGTCACGGACCCCGGCAGCCTCTGTTCCGTGGGAGGAGGCCTGGGACACTCTAGCATCAGTATGGGGTGGATGGGGTCTGCACAGATGTGGGTCCCTGGCGGCGGGACATGAGAGGTTCCTGCTGGACATTCTGACCCAAGGCTGTGCTATCCCTGAAAGCCCTCGCGGGAGCTATGCTGTCCCTATGGTCCCAGGTCCGCCAAAGGTTGCTTTTTTCTCAGGTGGAAGGCTTGGGCTGGGCAGGATCAGACAAACGCTTTCTGGAGATTTGAAACACGTCTCAGCCTCCGAAGGGACAATGGATGTGGTGTTTTTTTTGTTTTTGTTTTTGTTTTTTGAGACAGAGTTTTGCTCTTGTTGCCCAGGCTGGAGTGCAGTGG